GGGGGGGGGGGGGAGAGGGAGAGGAAGGAAGAGAACGTGTCTCTAATTTGGGTATGATCGGGCATCGTACCGTAATGAGTCGGACTGTTCCAAGAGAAGGTAGCTGAGAACGTCCCTTGGTATGCGAAGAGAGATAAGTAAACGCTGGCGTTTCCCATTTCCGACTGATATCGCGCAGTCTGAAACGACGGCCATATCAATGTCGCGTCGCCTATCATCTGAAAAAATACACACCGTCAAACGTGATCGCATACACTCGGCACACCCGATGAACATAATTCGAAGCCTTGCGAACGCACCTCCGTGATGTTGCGCATTAAATTCGCTTCCGTGAGATTTCCACCGAAATAAAAGTTCTGTATCGCATCGGCGAAGACGCTAGTGTTGGAAATCACGTCCTGATATTCCAACACATAGGGCAAAAATTCCTCAAAATTCTCTATCATCTCCTTCCTGATTTCAGGATTCAAAATGAAGTCTGAAACATTTGCGCCTCGTAAGATCCCATCGCGAAGATATCGCCTGACTCGTCGCCATTAAATTTATTAAAAAAAAAAAGAAAAAAGAAAATCGAATTAGCGTAACAACGAACAAACCGAACGCGTTTCGATTGAAGGAATTTAGGATTCTTATAAACGATATACAGTTCCAAGAGTCAGAAATGCTGTCCCTTTGTCAATTAAGAGACGCTTGGCTCGTTCATTATCACGCGTTAATTCGACGAATCTTTTTTCTCCGTGAGAGAACAATCGTCGGATAATTTGTCGGAAAGGATATCGCATAATACTCAAATGCAGAATGATTTGCGATTTTTATCCCGCCGAATGTACAAACTCACAATGATTTTATTAATATTATTAAATTAATTAAATTGTGCCTGTCTCTTCTCTTACTTGGACGTATTATTCGATGATATTAATTAATTTACCTCGGGGAGGGAGGGAAGCTTGACAAATTTAATTAAATAAATATTATTACGACGAGCAGCAGTACATAAAAGTCCTACCCATCGAACTCAATAGACCCTCGTCCTTTGTGACTAGTATTATCGCCGGTATGTCGCGGAACAATCCGTTCTTTATGACTTGTAGCGGGGGCATCGTCACAATGGCGTCTTCGGACTCCTCCTCCAGTGTGGGCAAGAAGGGGCAACACGGACGCATCCTCCAAAAATACTAACACCGATAACAACAAAACAGAATGTGAAGCATGCACGGCGCAATGGTGGATCGGAGATGTGAACGGCAGCGAGCTAACTAAAATATCTTAAACATAATCGCCAACGCTCACCATGGTACTCATTCTCGACAATTCACCCGGGTCAGTGTCTCTCATGCACTTCATTATCTCTTGTTCCACATCGTCAGCCGATATGTCATACTGCCCGGAATTCGCGATCGTCTCGTTCGATGCGGTCGCATTGTCGACTCCCGGTGGCAGACAGCCGACGCTCCACGCGAATTCCAGGCCAATTCGTCTGGTTGTTTCTTTGGACTGAAGAGCCCACGGGTGCAAAGCGCTTCCGCTGTGCAGAATGTAACGGTGGAACAGGCCCTCCGATTTGTCTGAGAGTGCGAGCATGTGAACCAAGACGGCACCAGAGCTCGTTCCCATCATGGTAACTGACTCGGGGTTCCCTCCGAAGTAATGGATATTCTCTTGAATCCAATGAAGGGCCGCTACTATATCTTTGAGGCCGTAGTTGCCCGGCGCGACTTGGTTCGTCGTGCTGAAGAAGCCTGAAATGCGGCATAGTCCGTCGTTATGCACGTCGGCAGCGCGATTAGATTCACGCGATTCGTCTAATCGTTATCCTCATCATCTAAGCATAGATTTTTATCCTTATCACCTAAGTTTCAGTTTACATGCAACATATCCTTGATTTTCGCGAATGGCGCGCCCAATAGCTAGCTACTTACACACACGGCGAAAAACAGATAGTTGCAGCGGTAATCTGTGTGTGGTAGCTAAATTTCGTTAAGATATGGACAGCTAAAAGTACGGTTGCTAGTAAGCATATATTTAACTATGAAAGCGATGTAGTAGCAAAAGTTTTGGTTACAACAGCAAATTTTTAGTTGCAAGAACAAACACATTTTCAGCAGACCATGATCAGCTGTGATAAAAAAATCTTTTCTTCCGTGAGAAGCGCGATATGTATAGAAAATGTCTTAGAATTTAATTGAAATTCAGCCTGATTTCCCAAAATTTTTATATTTTATTAAATTCAATTTTCCTTTTTCTAATTAAAATTAAGCAAATTAACTCTAAAATGTCATTGTGATCATTTTTCACCGATTCAATCAAAAAGAAAAATGAAAAATTGAACTTTGACTATAATATAAGATGCCATTCATATAAAAGAAGAAATCCAGACAACTGTAAATTATAATTTTAAAAAATTACGCAGAGTTATTTAAGTAGTCAGAAAAAAAATTAAGCAGAAATTAGTAATCTCATGAAAATAACATATATAATATATTACTAATATATATATATTATTAATATATATTATATTATATAATATATATATATTAAATAGAAAATAGAATATTGATAATTGAATGTTTTGCAGGTTAAAGTATATATGTTATTTTCATGAAATTGACTAATTTCTGCAGAATTTTTTTTTGGATTGTTAAATAACTCTTTACGTAATTTTTTAAAATCATAATTTACAGTTTTAGTTGATTGGATTTCTTCTTTTATATGAATGGCATCTTATATTATTGTCAAAGTTCAATTTTTCAATTTTCTTTTTGATTGAATCGATGGAAAATAATCACAGTGACATTTTAGAGTAAATTTGCTTGTTTAATTTTAATTAGAAAAAAAGAAATTGAATTTAATAAAATATAAATTTAATAAAATGAAATTGAATTTAATAGAAAATAGATATATAAATAAAAATAAATAAAATAAAATCGAATTTAATGAAAAATAGACATAAATAAAAAGAAACAAAATGAAATTGAATTTAATAAAAAAATATACATTGTAGTCAGTTTATCTGAATTTCGGAAAGTTATGAAAGTCGTTTTCTTTCTATAATGTTCGTCAAAAAACTCCAGGGGAATCCTATGTAAAGGAGAGCCTTTTTCCCTTTGTAAGTTTAAATTTATTAGACCCAATTCTTAATTTTCAAGAATGGTGCGGCCGACAGGTATTATCCTTGCATGCGTTGCGAAGCGTTTAACGCGCATTGTCATAGTAAGAAAGACAAGTGGAGGAAAAAGAAACTGAGCATCTTGCTGAGGGAGAAAGAAGAAGAGATTTCTCAACGTGATTGTTTTAGGGCGCGCGGGACGATCTTTTGTCTCACCTAAAGCATTGAGTCGGTAATTTAACGTAACGAGGACCACGTCGTGATCCAACAGATAGTCCGGCGCGTACAGTGTGCTATTGCTGCTGCCAAATTTGAACATGCCGCCGTATACGTAGACTACAACCGGCACTCTCAGTTGGTTGCCCAGGAGCTGCGGAAACATCGTCCGATGAAATTTTATCGACTAATGCCCAATTTCTTCACGTCCGGTTAACTTTATCTGTCGGTTAAATATCAGCCGTGATTGGTTAATTCTTGCCAACCATAAATATGATTGGTCAATTCCAATAGAATAACTGGCAGATAAAGTTAACCGGAGGTGAAGAAATTGGGCATAAGTAACGAGTGATCATCCGAGCGCTTCATGCTCGTCGCGTTTTCCATAAGCGACTCCACAGCGTAACCTTGATCCATTTAGGTTTAATTAAGTCACTGGGCGCGGCCTCGTGAGTTAATTGAGTTCACGCTTGGAACGTCGCGACTCTATTTATCTACGCGTCGCGACTTTCGGCGGGAATATTTCGTCCTCTGGGCTCACACGCCCATTTCGCCGATCGTTTTTACGCGAGACCATCGACTCGCCCCGGTGGGGTTGAGTTACGTTATTATCGATATAATCGCGCTCGCGATCGCAATCACGTTGTCACTCACCATGGGCATGAAGACGTTCAGATGAAGACAGTCCTCGCCACCGAGCACTTCTCCGCGAAAAAACTGAGTGCACATTTGCCTGTCATACGTGCCGTCGCGAACCGTCGTCCACGTACGGTTCCATCGTTGCGGACTCTGAGATAAAACAGTCGTATGACTAATTCGACCGTATGATGCTAATTCGGCGTTTGTGCGATTCCTCTTAACCCTTTCGCTACCAACTTCGTTCTTCAGAGTTCGTTTTTCAGTTTTAGCAAAAAAGTTAAAATTTTTACGCTAAGAGGATAATAATGTTTGACAATGTTAACGCGTGATAGATAGCTTTTCCAGTACTTATAACTAATGTAGTGAATCAACTCTGAACGCTAATTTTTAATGTTAACATTAATTAACTCCCTTATATTATCCTATGATTAAATGGAGAGACCCAAGTTCGACACATGGGATAATATTTTTCGCAACATTAAAGCAGAATAAGAAATGCTTAATCTACTCTTGCTATAGGAAATTTCTATTAAGAAATTAAGAACAAGACTTATGCTGTAAGTAAAAGAAGAAGTTCCTTTAAAAATATTACGCTTAGAATGTTTTCCCTTCGGTTTTAGAAGAGTTCTCTTGAGACCATTTTTGAGATTAAAAATGCTCTAAAATTTAGACAATTCTGCTAAGGATGAGATTGTAAAATTGAGCTGAGACATTCTGTATATATATTCTATAATGAAAGCTTAAATACTCGTATTTAGAGACTAAAACAATACGAATGTTGAGATTAGGTACGCGCCCGAATTGGCACTTTTACTTTAGTAGATTTTCGATTAATAGTCCACTTTATCAGAAGATGTGCACTGAGAGAAAGTATCTGATAAAAAATTGACAAATAGATATTTCCGACCAAATTCCGATCAATTTTTATATCCGATCAGGATATTCGATTAAATTTTATCTGATACTTCCGATCATAATGATATTTCATCAGATAAATAGATCAAAAGATTATAAATCGATATTTCTCATCGGGTGTTTCCTGATTGGTACAAAAATTCATTGGAAATATCTGTTTGTTAATTTTTTACCGAAATTTTATAATTTCTCAGTATGGGGTTAAATAGCAGCTTGCAACTAGAGTTTCTTTATATATTTAGATAGTACCTTGTGCGGACGCTGTACGAACCTTAAATCGCAAATCACCCAACGGAGGCAGCGCGTATGGTATCCCGAGGAAATTCGCGATCGGCCGGCCGTTCAAACTCATGCTCCATTTTCCGCGCACCGGGCCCCATGTGGTGTTTATTATTGGCTCAGATCCGGAAGGCACGCCGTCGGCCAGGACGATGGAAAACACGAGGACGCAACACGCGCACCACGCGACACTTCCGAATGTGCTGCGTCCACCTGCGAATTTGTCGCTGCCTCGTTCCAGCATCATGAACGGCGAAGGATGGCGGCAATGATACTGTTGTTTCACGAATCGCTCACTAACGCGCACTAACTGACGAAGCGTAACGCGATCTTTAATAGCAAACCGGGAGGCGCGTTATCGCATGTAGCGACGAGATGTACGCATACATGTCGGGGGTTTCAATGTAAACTGGCGGCAAACGATACGTTTCTATAATCGAGTCGTTTCAGCACTTGAAGATGATGTTAGTGTGTGTGTACATTTGTGAAGTTTCAGCATTACCGGGTTTTATTACGTAATAAAAGTTTATTATGTAATTATATCGTGTTCACATGTCGCTCGATTATCGTGTCACACATGTGAATGTAGTCATGGGTATATGTCGCGGTTTCACGAAAATTTTGAAACGAATAGTTCGTGAGAAATCGAGTCAAGTCGCAGAAAATTACTCGTTTTTAAATTAATTATGTGTGATAATGATACTCTCTAAAGTGCAATTATTATATTCTTCACTGAAATGCTATACTTATAACCGCCCGAGTCGAAATTTGTATCCTACTTTCTCCTTAGAGTACAAGTGCATTTTGCGCATTTTCTGTCATTCAACTTTTTATAGGGAAACTTTTTTTAAAGGTGGTGATTCTAATGCCTATTACTGGTTTACACATCTAGATACATGACAAATGTGTGAAATATGAGAAACCTAATAATTCTTATTATTATTATGATTATTGCTTGGCAAAAAATCAATTACTGAATGTTTAGTGTAAAATAATAGACATTTTGAACTTTACGCGAGATTACTAAAATATCGACCACAAACTTATAAAGGGTTAAGCTTAATCTATAATGTGCCTTTTGCTTTCTATTTTTTGTTTCCTGTTTTTCTGGCTTAAGACTTAAGGTTTGAGTTAAATGAAGATGAAAAAAAAAAATAGGAAGCAAAGAACATACTGAAGATCAAGCTTTAGAAGCGTTAAGTACACTGAGAGAAAAATTATCTAAAAAATCTAAATTCTAAATCTAAATTTTCCTTATTTATATCAAATATTTACCTGATTTAAATAATATTCGGTTTAAATAAAGAGAATTTAAATTTAAATAAATATGTTAATAGCACCCATCAAAGAAATATTTGTTGACTTTTAGATCATTTTCCTCAATGTAGGTTTTCAGTTTCCATGTGCATTACACACATTGAAACTTCAGAACATGCATATGTTAGAAAGTAAAGTAAGAGTGTTTTCATTGAAAATCAGTGAATGCTCACTGATCACTAGTAAAATAGTTCTTTTACTGATTCAATCAGAAATATTTTTAAAATAGTAGTTAGTTTTGTCAGTTTTAGTCTACTTCGCTTTAAAAGAGTAATCAGTTTTGAATTTGTGTTAATTGTTATCACTTCACTCGTCTTTCAAGCGAAATACTCAGATTTGAATTTATATTAGATTAGATTAGACAAAAATCTCTGAGTTCAACTGTCTATAGACATAAATATATCACAATTTAACTGAAAAACTTCTCTGACCTAAATTAAAATCTAACTGTTTCAAGATAATCTCGTCAACGACAATCTCGTGAGACAAGAGGCCTTTTCTTTGTAGCTGCACTGCTGAACTGGTGCAATATATTGAAGTGAGACAAATATACGTTTTCTCACTCTAACTTATTGCACTAGTTCAGCAGTGCAGCTACAAAGAACAGGCCTAAGATTCAAGTGACAACTATTAACACGGGTTTTGGGGACAATGTTGTTTGTAAGTTAGTTAGTAAGTAAGTAGTTAAGTTCTTTGTAAAACGATGGTCTCGCACGTGTTAGATGAAACGTGTTAGATGAACACGCGGGTTTATACATGAGAGAGTGATCGCGTCGGAACGTAGCTGTCGAGATAGATATCGGATATTATACTTGGATACATTTCGCACGTTTTCCTCTACCTCGCGAAAAGCTCTCGAGAGTCTTGCGCACAAAAGCTGATTAAACATTCCGTACTTGCACCGCCGTCTTTGTATAATTTATTCACAAGGAGGATCTCTATCAACCGTGACGTATTATTAAGCGAGAGGAGGGGGGAAGAGAGTAATGCGGCTTTCGGGGCTTAGCTACATACGGCGCGTTATTATAGATGAGCAACTTAACCTGGGTTACTCGTAACCACATTCTATTATTCAACACGTTGCGTTTTAGTGCGCTGACGCTGCACTAGCTTCGCAATGTTAACAATCGCACAGGCGAGCGCGAAATCGTAATTCGCGTACGACGTGCTCGTCGCGACCGAGATAAGATATCGTGAGGGAAGAAAATATGACAAAGCTCACTGATTTATTTCTTCCGAGATTTGAGAAGATCAGAGATCGCGGACTTCACTTTTCTAGCATTAAAGAATGATCCTTCCTTTTTTCACAGTTCTTTCTTTTGTATTGCTAATTTTTCGAAGTTCCGCGAAAAATCAAAACAGACCTCTCTTGATTTCAAGGTTAACGAGCACAGGAAACTCTTCGACCTGGCTATCTCCGAATGATGTCGGCAAGCTTTTCGTTTTCTTCTTCGAAACCCCGAAATACCGCGCGCGAACGCGCGGGGGACCTCGAGGGGAGCGATCGTTCTTTATTTACCTCGAGTCGGGCGACCGTCTAATTTGGGTTTCAGCGACGCTCTTACCGCATCCCGTGGGTCTTCTTCTCGGGTTTTCTACGTCAACCATCGCCGCGACCACCGCCGCCGCGGCGAAGGATCCGCCACTTCCGTCAGCGGCGGCGGCGGCGGCAGCGGTGGCGGTCCTAACAATTTCCTGACAAGGGACTTCCCCTGAGAGTTTCCGGTCCGTTTCCGCGCGGAATCTCCACGGCGTCTTCACTCGTTACGCGTCGTTTGCTGAGCCGTTTATCTCCTCGTCATTAGTTATGCCGCGTTATTTGGATCGCGCTTCTCAACGATATCATTCCCTCCTCAATCTTTCGCTCTCTTATCATTTTTATTTTTTCTGCGGTAATCATCGCAGAAAAACTCGCGACTGGGCGAGGCGACCGATTTACCAACTGGCCATTTAACTTCCTCGTGTTAACAGGCCATTATTTATGCCGCGGAATCTTCTGTCGATTAGAAATAACCGAAAAGTATAAAATTAATATTATATGCGTCGTACAAGTATCATCGAACGTGTCGATTGGCTGATGGATAGAATTCTCCTAAGATCCTTACGCTAAAAGAAATTATCCGATAGAAAATTAACAAACAGATATTTCCGATTAAAATACCGATAAATTTGTGTACTCGATCAGAATATCCGATTATATTTAATCGAATAGTTTCGATCATAATGGCATTTTATCAGATCAACCGATTAAAAAATAAACCAATATTTCTTATCGAATTTTTTCTAATCGATTACGAAAATTTATTGGTATTTTGATCGGAAATATCTGTTTGTTAATTTCTTACCGAATAATTCCTCTCAGTGTAACTTTTCCTCCAGGTACCCCAGAGATTCTCTATCCGACAGCCAAATTAGAGCACCTGACAAGCTTGTCGTACGACACATGTAATATTAGTCTAATCAGTTTCCTTCATGTCATGTTGGTTCGTAACTCGTTAATGTTATCATTCAAATCACAGCTTACTACGCAATAATATCACGCATGGTATTAATATAATATCTCGCTGTCGTGATACAATTCAATGTTCAAATAAATCTGAGTCATAAAGTCCCATGAGTTAATGGCGAAAATGAACTTCTACTACGATTTATATCCTAATACTTCCTGCGGACACAACTTTCAAGATATAAACGCAAGTTATCGGCGATAACGAGCTAAAAATATCCACCCCGCTTCGGTCACATTAGAATAAATGCAAAAAATACGCTATTAATGCCGGAAGAAGCAATTGCACAATTGCAATCATGACTAAGTGTTTATTACATCTTTAGGGAAATGCCATCTCACGACATCTCACAGTTACTTTATGCTATCCTATGTGACTTATAAAATTTTATATTTACGGAAACTGACGCGACCTCGTTTTATCTACGCTTGTCTTTATTTACATAATGAGATCGGGACTGAGATATCTTGAGAATATTAATCCTTTGACAGCCGCACTTATCGCGAACAAACCTTTAGATCGTATCTAAGGAGACAAATATGTTTACGAAAATCTTATTTACGAAATGATATAAACACTTTGTGAACTTGATCACGATTCATTACTTGTCATTACTTGTGAACTCGCGCGAAATAATTCGTTAGAAGCCAAAATAATAATGAGATATTTGATGTGACACAACTGCAACGGAGAATTCGGTAAAAATATAACGAAGAATTGTTAATATATTATTGCATTCTTATCTGTAAGAGAGATAAAGGTATAATAAAGGACATTATATTACCATACAATATATCTGATAATTATTGACACACCTGTTGTGACAGGTAAAACTCATCAAGCTGAATACAAGATTCTCTTACTGTAAACAACCACGTGAAATTTTGAGTTATTAATTAAAGAAGATTGGTGCATTATCGTGCACAATCATGCATCAATCTTCTTTAATTAATAACTAAACATCTACGTAGTCATTTTCAAAGGTAGAGAACTGTTTTTTTCAGTTTTATCTGATGTACGAGTATACGGAGGCTTCATCAGAGCTCATCTACCGTGTTGCGCGCAATCATTCACTAATCTTCTTTAATTAATAGCTCAAAATTTTATATTATTTGCAATTTTATTAATTTTTATCTGTCAGAGAGATAAGAGTACAATAAAGGACATTATCTACATCGTGTACTATTCCTTCGGCTTTTGTCATTGCCGGTTATCACGCAAATCCGTAAGCAGTGGCTCGAAATTGTAATCATTTGATCTTAATTTCATCGGAAATATGTGTTCAAACCATTTGTGGTTATTTGTGAAATAACAGAGGAGTTACGTGTTCAGTTTGATGAGTTCTGCACACAACATGGGCGTGTCGATAAAAATGCCAGACACTCTGTATACATCCAAGAAAATATAATCTCATTCTTGGCGGAATCCTCTTGTATATATATGACCTTAAGAGGATTTTTCTTAAACCAAACAGAAAATTGTCTAAGCACAATATTATTCCTCTTCATTAGGAGGGCAAATGATCTTTCGTAAAAGTTTTCATTTAGAATATGGTATTACAGGAAATCGCACCTTGCAACTATTTTCTTAAAATAAATTAGCGCAACATTATCGAAAATAGTGAATATATACTGATTTGCAGTTATAAGTATAGCATTAAAACTGCTCAGTGCTATATTTATAACTGATATCAGTGACTATTCATTGATTCACCTTAAAAGAGTAGAGTTCTTTTTCTTAAGGATACGTTAGAATATTTTCCTTTTGGTTTCTCCTCTTAGTTTTAGAAGAATTCTCATGAGATGATTGCTTAACTTAAATTACGATTGAAGACTCTGTTATCAATGATACTTCTTTATGAGGCGACAACCGCTGGCGGAATGTAATTATGTCGGCGTGTCAAAGTGTTAATGACGATAAGAGAAAATTAATTCGACGCTCGTTCAGATAACGGAGATACCGTATTTTCACGTAATAACAAGCCTTGAGTAACACGAATCGTGCGTCGATACGGCTTAATCTTAGCGGTCTCCAGATCTCCACGTGTACATTAGGAGCGCGTCGTGTTTGATTAAAGGCAAACGCCGCGGTGGATTATGCATTCGTCTGTTTGTCGTCAACTAATTGCAACTCGCTGTGCAGCCGTATATCACGACGGGACAAGAAGCGTTCAGAAATAGCGGCAGGGACGTTCCCCGTGGCTCACCACCGAACGACGCGCGCGCTGGCGACAAGCTCTCACCGTCGTCCTCGATTACGTCTGCTGAAGTTGGTCGCGTCTCTTTTGCGTCAATTTTCCAGGTTAGCGCACGCGTTTCGAAATTCGCACGCTTCGTTACGCCCGGCGATTAATATCACCGAATATCTCCGTAATGTGTAGAGAAGGCCGGGGCTAAACGCCCTATGTTTTAGAATTTCGAAGTTATTAGGCAAATGTTCTGATTGACTGTATACAGATGACAGAGATAACCGTATATTATTGCCCGCCACGGCCCTGTATTAACCGTATATTTTGTTTTGCAATAACCATAATACGAATATGCAGCAACAGAGCCATTTTTCTCTTGTACCAAGTTCAGTTGCTCAGTAGGTTAAAGCTAGTGGGTTAAAGAAGGCCACGTATAAAATATGTATTCTGATTAATAGTTCCGGAGTATCCGCGAGAAGTCTCCACAGCCCTCTTGCCGGCTCTTAATTATGGGCCAACTTTACCTCGTTCATATGCTTTATTTTTCAATCAGTTTATAGAATAAAAACTGCATTTATTAGCAGAAACAGTATATTATTCACTTGCAAGAAATTGGAACTAGTAAGACATCGCTTAATTTAGTTACAATGCTCTCTTAAAATGAATCAGTCAAACATCACTGAAACCAGCGAATACACATTGATTGCAATTATAAGTATAGCACTGAAAGTGCTCGGTTTTATATTCATAATATTAATGCTATATTCATGATATCAGTGACTATTCACTGATTCACTTTAAAAGAGTGGAGAATATTAATAGAAAATTTCGAGAGGCTCGGAAATTAATTTTGTTATTTATTTTATTTATTTTTTTTATTACCAAATCAGTTTTTTCTATTTTTCAACTGTAATATTATTTCAATTTTGATGAAACTGAGGGAAAAGTATTTATGTTCTAAAAGGACTATTTCATGATTTTATATCCACTATATTTCTCTCAGGATAAATACTAAGATTACATTCCAAAACGTCCTTTTGAGGCAAATGTTACTATTCCTATAGTTGACGTTACATATATTATAGAATATCGAGTAAAATTTCCTTAAAAAGGACGTTTTGGAATGCAACTTAAGAAAGTACACGAGCAACATATTCCTGGGGCTATATCTCCCTTACTTGCTT